TCAGGTTTCTTGAAAACCTTTCTGAAAGTTCTGCATACCTTTAAAATGAATTCTTTTTTTCCTGAGTTATGCTTTGTGCATTCTTTGCTTTATTTGTGAGCACCTTTAAAAAAAATCCAGACTTTGAAAGCTTTCTCAGGATATCACTTCTCTGTAATGTACTGTATTCTTTTAAAAATATTTACATTTGAGAAAATTATTTATGGAACATACCAACTTCCATTCTCCACCTTCAAGTAGCATTGCATACTTGGAACCTGTGCTTTCAATATTCATGCTGGCACCTTTTGAACATTAGGCTAATTATTTCATTTTTATATTTTTTTTCCATTAAGAAAGCCTTCTCCACACCAATTGCTTCCATCTGTGGTGCTAATTAATTTTGTTATCTCAAGAATTATAACCTCGCTTGCTAATGATTGTACACTTCACTCTCTCATACACATAAATTTGACTTCACTCAAACATTAAATTCCTCTTAAGTTGTGTTCACATTTGGATTGTGCTGTGTTTCTTCTAAACTTGATTATGCCTTTTAAAATTTCTTTACATTTCTTGAAAATCAGCTGGCCTTTTGAGTTTTATATCCTATCTATGGCTCTGTACACAAAACACTTGTTCACAAGTTCATAAGGTTTGCTCATTGATTGTGAAATACCACTGAACTGAAATCATCTTCCATTAGGGACCAGAATACTAGAATAATGGTGATTTTTCTAGCATTTTTCAATAGAATCACTTTTTAATATGTGCTGGACCAGTCATCAAAAATTCATATGCCATAGTTATCTAAACCTGAGATAATGGCATTGATCATGATATTCTGTCTTGTCTCCTCTGCTTAAATTTATATCTGTCCTCCACAAATAAGTTCATTATTCACCCATGTAAGTGATGCACAGAGAACAAGAGAAAAGGTAAGTTGTATATATGTAACTTTGATACTATAAATAGCAATTTTCTATCCACTCAACTAGTAACCTCCTTTCTCAAGTTCTTGTTATTTTCATATATCTGTATCCACTATATTTATAAACAAACTGAGGAGAATATGTAGTAGTATTTCTAGGATCATAGAATATAATATTGGAAGGAATTAAGGGGATCATGTATTGTAGAGCAATGTTTAAACATTTGTGAATCCTATTGAATTGCATAAATATGACCTGTAATATGATCCATTCTCTACCTTAAAACTACATAAAGAGAATTCAGTTAAACAAATGAGTCAAAACTTTTATTTTTGTTAATTGATCTATTGAGGAAAATGATTCAAATCTACATATATGTATGATAAAAGTTTGTTTGTTTGTTTTTCACACTTGTGAACTGCCCATCTCCCTCAAAGAGAAATTGGCAATGACAATAAAATGTCAAAACATAAAAAGAGTATATAAAAATGTTAAAATTAAAGTTTTAGATTTTAAATTATAAAATGAGGCAAGAATAATTAAAACCTGCTAAAAATAGTTAACAAAAGCTGAGGGTGGGCTCTCGTGGCACAAACCAATCCTATAATTGAGTGTTCCTTTGGGTTTCCCCTTTGAGACTGCAGACTGTGTTTTAACTCCTTTTTGGAAGGCCAGGAATTTAGGGCTTGCCTCATCTCCAGGGAGAGAATATTCCATAGGATGCGGGTAACAACAGAGAAACACTTTTCCTGGACCCTGCCAATTAGAATTCTTTAACTGATGGGATATGCAACATACCTTCCCTGCCTGACCGGGTGGGATGGGTGTTGTAATGGGCCAGTTCCTTAGGTTTCCTGGCTCCATGCCATATAGGGCTTCACAAGTCAGTATGAGAAACTCTAGTTCATTTGAAGGGGAAAGTAGAGTCAGGTGTTTCAAACAATGGAATAATAATTAGATTTGAGTATAGGAATTACTGCCTTATTTATAGAAAGGAATTCTATTCACTATCAAAATCTGATCTTTACAATCCAGGTTTGTAAAAATATGTCGTGGCTCAGACAAGGACTTCCTGAAACCAGATGGAAAAAGTTAACAAAATGATTTTTAAAATGTTTAGAGTCTACCAATCCATCCCAGGTGGACTTGTAGAAAGGGAGCAATTCAATATAATTGTGCCCTCCTCAGGAGTGTTCAATCAACCAAGATCAAACTTAATGCAAGGTATGTAATACTCCAGGAGGTTGCAAACAAACCTAGTATATGCATAACATCTAAGAAATTCAAGGCCTTTAGCATTGGTTATGATAAGCATTCATGGGATCACGATCAAAAGATCAACAAACAGTAATAATGTGCTTGGCAGGGTTGAAAGGAAAATGCCAGTACTATCCAAAGAGAACGTTGCTGCCCAATTATAAGACCATGTAGATAAGCCGGAAGGTTAGAAAGGCAAAAGGTAAATATTGTAATAGAATGGGCAGATGAGCTTGAGGGAAAAGAATAAGAGATGCTGCCTAGGAAACAATCAAAATGAGAGAGGCAGGAACCTCCACTGGCTTAATAGAGAAAGAAACCTAGGAAGGACTCATCCTAATGGATTAAGTAGTTAACAGTTGTGGCTGGAAGTTTGTTCTTTCAGACTTGCAAGATGCTATTAATGTAGCTTTACCATAAAGTAGATTTAGCTCATCTAGATATGGTTTCTGCCTGGGTTACCTGAGTGGGGTGTCATTCAGTAAACAAATCAAATTAAAAAATGGAATGGAATGGAAACACATAGTTGCAATTATAGTTGCTGCCCAACAGTGTATGCCAGTTACTGAAAGAAGAGATTCCCATAATTTTGCCACATACAAAAATGCAGCTTTGGGTCATTCTCCTCATTAATGAGCAAGTGTAATGCTTTAGACTCATTTGTTTAATTTCATTTTCTTTAGTTTTAGGACTTGGGTGGAGAACAGATCACATTTTGTATAACTTAAATATAATCCTATCTTATAAACTTATAAATTTTAACTATCTTTTCAATTTTCAATTTAATTTTAAATATCACCTTAGATGGAAAGTCCACCATTTCACAAGACAGTCTTTGGTTGAAGAACTAACAGCATTAAGAAATATTTCCTAATGTTCAAGTGAAATCTATTTTTTCATGATTTAAATCCATGATTTCTTGAACAACTCTGAACAATTGTTCCTTTTTCTACATGAGAAATCTTCAAATTTCTGAAGGCCACTATTACGTTTCCACACAATAGTTTGTTCTCCCCTTTAAACATGTCTAATGCATCCAACTATCTCATATCATGTTGGTTGTTGTCTTCAAGACATGTTCCAGTTTGCCAATTCTTTCTTAAAATTTGATGCCAAGAACCGAAGGCAATTTTCTAAATATGATGTGACCAAGACAGAATAGGGAGGAACAATCATTTCTCTGATCTTATACTCTACTTTTGTATAGGATTGCATTTGCTTTTTTGCAGTTATCATAGTGTTAGCTCATGTTTAATTTTTTATTCACCAGGACACCTTATTATTTTTGCATGTTACTCAGTAAGGTTCACCCACCCAAAAGTTTGATTTATTCTATCCAAATATAGGATTTTTCAGTTGTCTCCACCAAAATTGATCTTGATGTTTCTAGATCATTGTCAAGGTCTTCTTGAATGTTAATATTGGCCTCTAAGATATGTGCTATCCCTGCTACTTTTATATCGACTAACCATCTTTTATAAACTTAATTCTCTTTTCTAAGTCATTTATAAATCTATTCAACAGCATAGGGCTTAAAAGGGAACTCTGATATACCAGCTCTGATGTACTCTGGCTCTGATGTACCAGTCAACACTTCCAATTTGATGTTGAGCAATTGACATATACCTAATAGATATGATTGTTCAGTCTACTATACTAATTTTAATATAATCCAGCCGACATTTTGTCCTTTTCACTACCAATATATCATTGGAATCTTTACTGAATGCTTTGCTGAAATTAAGGTATACAATATCCATCACATTCCCATGGTCAGCTAAACTAATCGTTGATCGCAGAAAACTGAATCATGTTGGTTTGGTTATGATATACATTGTATATTTGAGAAATGGCAGTTTTCTCCTACAAATATCACATCGGTGTATAGTCACAGATCATATCTACACAAATATCACTTAAAGAACATGAACAGTCTGTCTTGTTATAGTCTTTTGCAAATATAAAACTGTTTTTTAAAAAATCTTAGAGATGTTTGGTTTTAAGAGCTATATAAAAGCAAAAGTTTAACATATTCTAATATTCATGACTAATGCTGTTACATGTTTTTATTAAAAAACTGCAGTGCTGTACGAAATAAAGTATAACAAGGAAAGTAGCAGAATTTTTCTAGCCATTTACCACATCTTGTATATATACAAGATATGAATCTTCCCCATGTACTAGAGAAAAACAAGGCTGTCCAACTGAGGGCAACGAAACTGCCTTTTAAAAAATATTATACACACATCTTGCATTATTGGAAAAGCAATGAAATAAGGGAAATGGCAAAAAAAATATTGATGAACTGTTTAAAGCAATGAAGGATATTGAGGAATGGTGTGTTTGACAGTCTTATAATGTCCAGTAAACATCTGTGCAACAAAAACAGCTCAACAAAAAAGACCTAATTGTTTTTTGATCAACTTTATTTACAAATAAGTCTTGGAGGATGGTTTTGCTTTTCACTTTAAATAATAAACTGATTTTTTTAGAAAGTTCATTTATTGTACACTAAATGCATAAATATATATTAGAATGAGTAGTGGTATTTGGAAAATGAAAAAAAATAATTTTATTAGTTGTCCAGTCGAAAAAGATATGACAGTGCTGCTCAAATAAATGAGGCATATTATGTTTCATAAAACTACTGTTTTATGAAATTATGTTTTGCTACTTTTGGAACTCTATGTTAAGTAATGGAAATAATCCAGATCTCCATAAAAATAATCTTCATGCAGAGTAGGAAAATATCATGAAATATCAATTTCAGATCTCTTATATTTAGAATTTACAAATTAAGCTGCTCTTACAAATTCTTTCTTTTTGATCCAGGTGGAGGCAGAATTGATTGATAAGCTAGACAGTTTGGTATCAGAGGGAAAAGGAGATGAAAATTACAGGGAACTCTTCAGTCTGTTGTAAGTCTTAAGTTTAGCATTATTAAAACTACATATCTATATAAAAAGATTGGAAGGATGATCTAAACCAGGGATGTCAAATTCAAGACCCATGGGCTGGATGCAGCCTGCAATGTGGTTGCGGGGTGGTCCTGGTCTACCCAGTGTGAGGAGGAAAGTTTGGGACACCCTAGCTTCTGCCTGATCTACCCAGTGCAAAGAGGAAAGATCAGGCCAGCCTGGCTTCGACTCACTCTATCCAATGAGAAGAGGAAACATGCCAGAAGTTTGGGGAGTGGCGTCAAGTTGGCCACGGCCACCCGGTCAACCACAGCTCTCTAGCCCCCCAAGGTCAACCACAGCCCTGATATGGCCCTCAGTGAAATTGAGTTTGACACCCCTGATCTAAACATAAATACTATTCTTAGAAATGAATAATGCATCAGAATGAATGGTTTGATAAAAATACAACAAATATTTTAATATAAAACAGCATGTCCATTTTATTTAATAATTGCAGAAATCAAGATTTGTTATTGTATTAACATGAAAGATCAATTCATGATTATAATCATTTAAAATAACTGATAAATTTGATCCATTTATAGCTTTTTGCATCTCTTAATTTGAATGCCTTCATTTTTCTGGAAGGATGTTTGGATTTCTGTTTTTTTCTTTACTTTCTGTTTTGAGTTGCCATTTTACAACTGGAGATGTCCCTATATTTTGACAAATTGAATACAAGAGTAGAGAAGAAGTCTTGCCTGCTGTTCCCCAATAATTATTCCTTCAGTGTCTCAAGGAGTGCATATTGAGTATCTTCATGTAATCTTTATCTTCAACAGCGTATCTCTAAATATGAACTTTAAGCCTATGTTTAAAGACAATTTACTATTTCTTTTGTAAAATATATGACCTTCATTAAGATTGCATAGATGTAGTTTGGAGTTTCAATGAAAGTACAAATGAGGTTAGGCAAGCAACTCTGAATTACCATAAGAGCTCTGTTGTTACTAATTTTTAAAATAAGCATACCATGAATTCTGAAAAGAAATTGGCATTGTTCCAAGACATGAATTAAAACATTAATTGTTAAAATATTCATTATATTGCTTTGACAACCTAAATTCTTTCCTGGTGATTCAGAGCTTGTCAAAAGACCATACAAGGGAGCCTGTTTTTCACATGGTTTACAATTTAACTGACATGTCTTTACACAATTACTAAATACTAAAAATTTAAAATTAATATTAAAAATACTAAATTCTAACAGTGGTTCAATATTCGAGTCATAGATAGCACAAACCTAATGATTAATATATAAAATATCAGTAATTCTCTAAACTAAATTAATTAAATATGAAGTGTTAACTTCTAGAAACTCAGATTTTTAAATTTTTGTTTTTTACCAAAACCATCCTTATCTGCAGAAAATTGAAGATTAGGTTGTTCTTGTAGTCATAGCCACTACATAGCCACTATTTCACATACACAATATATAGATATACAACTTACATTACTGAAAAATAAAATATTATAATAGAAGCAGTGAATTGAACTATATATTCCCATGCACTGTTTTCAGTTGCTCCATTCTTTAAAATATTGAATATTATGCAAAGGAAGTTTGTATCTCTTTAGGGCAGGGGTGGGCAAACTACGGCCCGGGGGCCACATCCGGCCCGTTGGTCTTTTTAATCCGGCCCGCCGAAGATTGGTACAGAATTAAGGTTTGATGTGAATGATTGAATGATTGCATTCATTTTATTTTGACTTGTAATGACAGACATTTTGACACCAGGTGGCGGCCCGTCTGTCAAATTTTAAAAGTCAATAAGGCCCCCGAGCCAAAAAGTTTGCCCATCCCTGCTTTAGGGAGAGAAAACATATAACATCTAATTAAAACCTCAAAGAAATAGTACATGACCAGAAGAAACTAGGCCCATAGATATACTAAGAGTTGGACTTGACTGAATGGATAACATCATCACAATACTCACTTGCTCACTTTTTAATTTTAGGACCAACAATATCACTGGGCATGGGGTGGGGCAGGGGAAGGAAATCAGCCTGATGAAAACAATCTCACCGTGTGACCCCAGCTTTTTTTCTCAGCAGTACATTATTTCTACGTAAAGGAAATATGTGTATGTATTCTGTAAATGCATATAAATTATCTACATTCATGAGTAGCAGTAGTGCAATATCTAGACCAGGCACAATATTTTCTTGGTATGAAATAGTAATAGTGTATCATCTTAGTTCAATCATTTCCTTGTCTTTGCTTCATGCAACGTGGATCAGAACCCAGCTGTTTGGGCCTTATCCCAGGTAAGATGATTGTTCAGATTTTATATGGAAATGTTTAGGTATTTTAAGTATTCTCAAAACTGTTCACAATAATATTTTTGAGTAAGTCTTACTGATTATTTACTTTCATACAGCCTGCTGGAAAAGATAGAACAAGAAACTTGGAGGGAGACAGGGGTTTCATTTGTTACATCAGTGACTCGTTTGATGGAGCGCCTCCTTGATTACAGGTAATGCAGTTATTCACAGTTCAAGGACCTCTGATATATATGCAAATAATGTTAGTAGTAACTAATGACATAACATTTTTTACCAAAGATTTTTTCTTGCTTATAACAGCATATATAGATTCTGAGTACCAGGAGTTGTACCCCGATTTTTTAAAGGATGTAATATGTAGTCACTTTTTTGTATTTTCAAATGCCTGTCTAGAATATTACATAAACGCTAAAAAAGAAAAAGAAAAAAAACCCTGGAGAATTAATACTTAAGGAATTTGCTGATGATTTACAGAATCAAGAAGTAAAAAAAACTGCTAATCTTGCTAAAACTACATAGTCAAAGTTGTGGAAATACCTTTATGGATTAATTCTTCAGAACTGCCTATATTATTTTTAATTCTGTAATGGAAAAAAGTTTTGAAATTTAAGCATATCAACTGTTTTTGTTTTTCAGAGACTGTATGAAAGGAGATGAAACAGAGAACAAGAAAGTTGGTTGCACTGTTAACTTGATGGTGAGAATTATCTTTGTAAAAGTATAAATATCATTTTGCCAGGATCAAAAATTCTTTCTTTCAATTCTTGTAATTTCATACTTGTGTTAGTGAAAGCATTTATATTCCTTATATTCTGTTGGCCTCTTTTTTATTGTCTTTGATTGTTCCAAACATTGGTGGGTTTCTCTAGTGACTCTTATCTTTGTACTATGTGTTCAAAATATCTAAGTCTTAGGTTCATTAGTACAGGCAAGTATTGGCCAATCAAGTGGTTAACACGGTAAAAGACAAAGATCAGAAGACAGTGGTAGTGATAGATGTAGCAAAGCCAAGTGACAGCAGAATCTTTAAGAAGGAATATGAGAAGCTGGAGAAGTACCAGGGCTTGAAGAAAGAACTAGAGAGGATATGGAAAGTAAAGGCCAAAGTGGTGGGAGAAACAGTCGGGGCTGTGATTCCTAAGCTGCAAGAGTGGCTCCAACAGTTCCCAGGGATAATATCAGAGCTCTCTGTCCAGAAAAGTCAGTTCTAGGAACAGCTAAGATACTGCACAGAATACTCAATATTCAAACTCCTAGGCTTCTGGTAGGAGTCACAAGATTGGGAAGACATGTATTCTCCATAAAGGTGAGAAGGGATTTTTATCAGGCTGGAAACTGGAATGCTGTGAGTTCTAGTATTGCCTTGGGCATGAAGTCAGCTGGATGATCTTGGATCAGCCATTTTCTCTGAGCCCTAGGAAGGAGGCAGTGACAGCCCACTTCTGAAAAACCTTGTCAGGAAAACTAGATGGGCACTCTCCAATGGATTAACTGGAAGAAAAAAGAAAAAAATCCCCTAAAATCACAATACATTCTTTATTTGTCCTGATTTAAATAGAAATAGAATGGCACCATTTTCAACCTTTCAGTACATTTCTTAAGGAAGAACTATTAAAGACATAATATCAGGCCATTATTTGTTTTGAGCTTACTTCTATTACCTTTATTAGTAGATCATTGAATCTTCCAAGATCTAATTTGTATTTCAAATAATCCTAATTTGTGAATAAAATATGATGGAACAAATAAAACAAATAAAATTAAGATATAATATAGAAATGGAATACAATAAATTCAATACTAAAAGCTTTCTGCACTGGAAGGGTGGTTATAGAAGAGAGTGGGTATAGAAGTGGATATATGTTTTAAGTTTCTTCATGGTTTATTTCATGAAACTGAAACATGATTTAGCATTCTAAATAAACTGAATGAAAAAAGTTTTGAAAATATTTTGATTGACAAATTTTTCAGAGATTATTTTTTGAAATATTTTATTTTTTAGAATTTTTATAAATCTGAAATTAATAAGGAGGAAATGTATATCCGCTATATACACAAGTTATGTGACATGCATCTGCAGGCTGAAAATTACACAGGTAAATATGGGAAAAAGTTTTATTTATATATTTACAGTGGTCTTTTAAAAATATGTCTCTTTAAATTTTCATAAATTTTTTAACTAGTATAATTTATACATTGATCGGTTGTATGAGTATGTACATTAACTAATACAATTCTTACCAAATTATATCACAATGGTCAGTAAAAGTATGTGGCTAGGATCATGCATGTTGTTTTCACGTGGTGATACAATATCTTTGGAAGACATTCTGCATTTTTGTAATCCGGTTAGAACTAATTCTCCACGATTGGTTTACATTACCAATGTCTCTGCATAAATACTTAGATTAGCAATTAGCAATTTGAGGTGCACTTAAGCAGTAACTGGATAGTTTCAGCTAATTTATTTTAATTGCAAGCATATAGTATATTAGGTGATTGTAGAGCACAACTCATGCATATAGTATATTAGGTGTTCATAGAGCACAACTCAAATGCACTGATGATGTCTCCGCGAATGGTGACAAAATGTTTGCAACCAAATTGCCAAGTTCAGAGCACAAACCAAGAGCCTAACTACCAACCTGAGCTACTAATATTCAAACACGTTTCATATAGTATATATATTTTTACTATGTCCACATTATTTTCATTGATATTACCTAAAGTCCAAATAAGAATAATTAATTAATTAAGAACACTGTATGCCTTTAAATAGCCTACAAAATATATACATAAAATATTATGTATCAATTCATTTGCCGTTACTTCAGCATAACATTAAATATTCACTTTCCTTTTACTAGCAAAACACCTTTTTTATTTTATTCATTTAGGATTTTCATAATTTTTTTGGTTTATCTATTTGGATATTTATACGTTTTTATGGTATTATGCAATGATCATTGCTTGTTATTTTGACAGAGGCTGCTTTTACATTGCTTTTGTATTGTGAGCTACTACAATGGGAGGACAGGCCTCTTCGGGAATTCCTCCACTATCCATCTCAGACAGAGTGGCAACGTAAAGAAAATCTTTGTCGGAAGATTATCCATTATTTTAATAAAGGCAAGGTCAGCAAATGTTATTAATAATTATTTTCAAATTTTATTAGATATTCTTTTCTAAAGCCAGAACTAAATATTTTCTGCAAACATACATATATACATATCTATCTTGTCTAAATTAGTTCCCTATTTAATTATATATTTCTATACACAGACTCACACATAAATGTACATACACAACTACAATTATTTTTCGCCAGCAAAGCACGCATTAATAGAGATGAGATAGACTAATAGACTATTAAGAATACCACAAGATGCACTTTTTTGTCTCCCCAAAATGGGTGGAAATTTCTGTGCGTGTTATGGACCAAATATTTCTGAAGCGCCGCCCACCCAGTGGCCCCCACTCTTCGGCTGTTTTTTGCCTCTATGTGCCCCATTTTCAGCTCCTATTGCCGCCACCTATTGCCGCTATTTGCCACTACCACCTGTCGGTGGTTGGATCATCCTTCCGGAATACCGCTTATCAGCTGTTCCAGGCGGCAGGAATTGCCACCACCTATTGCCGCCACCTGTAGCCACAGAGCGAATAGCAGTGGCTATAGACGGCAACAGGCTATAGGCGGCAACAGGCAGCGGCAATAGCTGGTGGCAATCCCCACTGCCTGGAGCAGCTGATCGGCGGTATTCCGGGAGGATGATCCAGTCATCGATGGTGGCGAGCAGTGGCAATAGTCGGGAAACACTGGCGAAGGCTCCAGTGTTCACCGGAAGAGCAGCAGACACAGAAGAGGCAGCAATAGCGCTGTTTCTGGTCAGCCAGCATGCTGATTGGCAGGGTTAAGGGAGGCCGGGATCCAGTTATTACTCAGCCTGACCAGTGGTGGGCACAATGGAGTGGAGACCTGATGAGCCATGTACTGGGGCTGGGAGGCAGAGGCAGATTTTTTGTTTTCTTGTTTTCCTCCCCAAAAGCTAAGTGTGTCTTATGTTCCTGAGTGTCTTAGTAGCAAAAAATATGGTCGTTTATAAAGCAGTCGTGCCAGCTTGAAAAAAAGATGCAACTGTTTTAATGATGGAAAGTGCTATTTCAACATTCTCAACTTTCAAAGAAAGATCTTTCAGTTATTTGTTTTGAACTATTAAATAAATATAGATTTTGCATTTCTGCTTACAGAACCTATATCTGTTTAAAACTTTGCTAGGAAAATAGTGCTCAATTTAAGAAGGCTTCAAATTACAGTAATTCAGTCAAAGAAACATCTGCTTTTCTCTCCTGAAATAAGAAATATGTGTCATTACAATCTAAGTTTGAGTTATTGTGTACACAAACACACACACACACAATATTCTTTCTTCCCTAGAAGGTTAATGTTTGAGTAAATATTTATATACAACAAGAAATGGAAACATAGAATCTAGATTCATCTATGTATTCTTTTATGTACTTTCTTGCAGAATTGTCATATTGAGCCTAGCCTATTCTTTAGTATTTGCTGTTATTCAGAGTTAGGTATTGTTTTGATAAATGTTTTTTTTAATTTGGGATGGTATCTCTTGTTCAACTCAACTAATCTTTCTCTTGGCCAGAGCAGAAAATCCAGAGTCTATACTAATTAAGAATTGCTAAATGTTTACTTATTTTACTTGTCTCCATTCTTTATCATAGGTATACATTACTAAGGGTTACTTACTTAACTTTAATTAGATATTTTTCATGTATAAAAATCCTGTTTCATCTCAGCTTTTAATCTTTCCTTTAGAGCTGGGAATTTGGAATCCCATTATGCAGAGAGCTGGCTAGTCAGTATGAAACATTATATGATTATCAGAGTCTCAGCTGGATTCGGGTGAGTGATGTTCAACTTTTCTGCAGGACACAATATTTTGCCAATTGAAAATATACAGGCAGTCCTTTGTTAATACCACTTGTTCAGTGATCATTCAAAGTTACAACAGTGCTGAACAAGTAGTGGCTATGACTGGTCCTTAGAGTATTAGCCATCCCAGCACCTTGCAGTCACATGATCATGATCTGAGTGCTTGGCAACCAGCTCACGCTTGCAATGGTTGCAGCTTCCTACAATCATGTCATTGTGATTTGCTATCTTCCCTGCAGGCTTCCGATAAGCAAAGTCAATGGGGAAGCCAGATGGGAAGGCTGCAAGTTGCTCAGATAAGTCTTACCTACTCACACACCTTCCCTCAGTACTTTTATTCTCACTGATACGCTGTGCCTCAGCACAACCACCTGGACATTCCCCCTGCTACTCTCCTGCCTGACAGCAGCCACCTCAAGCCCCATCATACTCATGCTGTAGTTCCCTGGCTACCCACATATCTTCTCGCTTCCTCTGGTAGCAGTGACTTACTTGCCTGCTGGCTTTCTTGCAAGCCACTTGGGACTTGCAACTTGCAAGACCAGTGCCAACTTCCCCACTGACTTGGTTGTTGGAAACCATAGGAAGTTGCTCAAAATGTCACTTTCTTCTTCTTTTTTTTTTTAAACGAATCTTATTCAATTTTTCACATAAAAACAAAAAGCTCTTTTTAGTGGACAACATATTTCTGTGTCATCACTTTTACATACAAATATGACAATGGTTATACATTCATATATGCATACTTAATTCTATTATTACCTTTTCTGTTCCAAACTTTCAGAAAGGAGAGAAACAATCAAATTAATCCTAGTCTCTTACATTAATCTCAATCAAAACATTTTTCGTTTCATTTCAATTATTTCAAATATCATCCTTTAATATTTATTTTAAAAATAACAATAACAATATATGTTTGCCTAATAATAAAAAAAGAAAAAAAGTTACCAATGTCTCTCCTTCCTTTTAATAGTCTGTATTAATTTATTAATTTAAGTAGTTCTTTAATCTGTCATATTTTCTTTCCATCACACATTCTTTCTATAGATTCTAGATTAATACAATTTTTAACACAAAAGAAAAAGAAACAAGTATAGGTTCCCCCCCTTTTACTGCTTTGAGTATGACACCTCAGTGGTTAAAATATACCTTTATTCCCCCATCTTAATTCCCAATAAACCATTATTTTTGAGTAGTTACAATAATAATCATTATATCTTTTCATTTGGATTCCGCAACATATTTTCCCCCCTTAATTTTATTTCTAATTTCAAAAAAGTAAAAGGAAAAAAAATGACTATTCAATTTCTGGTCATTGATATTGACCTCATTTTTAAACATCTTCACATTCATTTCAATTATTACAATTTCTTCAATAAACCTTAATTTTTCTTTTAAGAATAAAAAATAAAAATGTATATTCATCTAATAAGAGTTATCAGTATCTATCCCTCCTTTAATAATCTATATTACCCTATTTTCGAAATATTTTTTTAATTGCAAATATATTCTTGTTACCCCTTGTCACTCTGCAGAATCCTCTTTTTAATTCATCACCCATTATCTCTGAAAAAATGATTTCTTTTCATCATTTTACTCTTTCCGTATTTCTTTATTTCATGCACCTATTTCTTACTGCCTCTTCTCCCCCTCTTTTTCCCATATCTTTTCTCATTCTGGTTTATATCCCTCTCTTTCTTGATATCTTCCTTTACCCTTTTCTGCTGGATCTTTCTTTCTCTCCCAATTTCACAGGTATTTCCCTTTTTGATTACCTTCTTAAATCTCAACTTTTTAGCCTTCTTTCCCCTCGTCTTTGTAGTGTTCTTTGTGTTAATTGTCTATTTAAGATGGCTTCTCCTTGAATCAACTCCTCCTCCTCTGAAGTTCTTTCTTCTTGTTCTTCAATCACCATTTCCATTTCTTCTAACACGGAGCTAAGTCATTCGCCTCTTTCCTGTAGTAATTCTCTCATATTTTTAAGTTCCATTTTTAATTCCCGAAGAGATATCATCATTACACACTCTTATATTTTATAATCATTGAAGTCCACAAAAAATACTTTTACTTTCCTTCTTTCTTCTTTCAGTTTTTTGAAGTTCTCAATTGTTCCAGCCCAGGGTCTATACCAAAAACATCAATCAATCCTACAATCAGTCTTTCCTTGCTTCTTTCTTTATTCTGGTTCAGTTTTCACTTTCTAAGATTCTTACTTTGTTTTAATATTTCTTTAACATTATATCAACACAAGTTCATACAGAAACAGGATGCTTTCCCTTTTGTTTGAGTTCAAGTTTTTGTCAGAAGATGGCACTCTTCATTATACAAAGTCTTCACATTTTTCCCCTATTTTTTATTTAGGGTTTTTTGAACCTCAATATTCCAGCGCAATCCAGTCTCCAATTTGTAAATTTTATTATTATTATTTTTTGACAATCTTAAGCCCAGCTTTATTTTATGCCTGTTTATTGCCAAAATATTTTAGTCCAATTTAATTAAATCTTTAGTTCTGGCTTCTTCCTTTCCTGGTTCGAAGCCCCGCTTAGCTGTCAAAATTATTTTCTTATTTTTTTCCTGTCCCTTTGTATTTTTGTCACTCACTTTTCTTTTCTTAAAAGTTCACTGTTACCTTAATCCCAGGGTACTTTTTGTTTAGTTGTTTCGACCAATTGTCCTGGTTCAGATGTTATCCACCTCTTTCTTCCCTCCTGCACAAATCTTAGTCCAGCTGAGTCCTCCTCTTTGAGGTGGCCATTTTAGACCACCGCTTCAGTCTTCTTTGGGGGTAAAAGGATCAAGCCCAGGAGGGGAGATGCGGCTCCCCTCAACCTGGCTTACGGCTTCCCCTTACTCCACCGCCCCTCCAAGGCAGCTTCAGCTCCTAATCTCAATGATGGGGACTCTCCCAATGAAAGAGCACGGACCATAGCCGTGGACAGTCGCGATCTGAGGTCCGTCAGTGAGGAGGGCTCAACCGGGAAGTTTTGAAATGTCGCTTTCTGAATGACTCACAATCCTCACTTAATAACAGCGGGGTTTGCTGTTGCTAAACATGATGTTGCACTTTATAACTGTGTCACTGAACAATAAAAACTGTGGTCCTAATTGTCATCATAACTCAAGGATTACCTGTAGCATCTTTAGCAAATAAATAAAACATTTTGTAATATACTTTTACTATGTATGTTAGAAAGGCTCCATTTACTTTTAATTAAAAAGAAAAGCAGCCACTAAAATAAAACATTCTAATATTACTCACTTCTGGACTTTAAACATGGTCTAATCAAGATGTTAGCCCAAGTTCTGTACCTCTTTTCCCTTATTTAGTTTATTGAATGTACTGTAGATTATGATATCCAAAAGTGGATTTCCCACATATTTCTACATTTGATACCTTTTTATCATTCAGATTCTTTGACAAAAATTTATATTTTACTAAAATGAATGTAGAATTTCATGGTATAGTTATATGGTATACCATATAACTATATATGGTATAGTTATTCAAATGGAAATCACCGTGATTTGAAGTTAATACTATACAACTGAAAATAATTATATTTTTAAATCCTCAAATCAACATTGTTTAGCCTGCAGGCTGCTCTTTTTAAAATTCACTGAAGATAAAGGAATAAAAATTTAAAAAAATATTTTCAAATTTGTTTGAATATATTTATGTATTTCTACATATATTGCAAGTCTACGTGAGGCATCAGGTTGGATTTTTATATGACTCTTTGAGAACTTTTCGTAACACTTCGTTTAATCAATAGTCTACTATATACTTTATACTAAAAGTTGCTCAGACTTTCAATCACTTCTGAATCTTTATGACCTGATGAACTCAATTTTGTCAAAATTGTCTATTGTTGACTGTTCTTTGAGTTCTTATAACTTTAAGTTTGCATAGAAAGCACAGTATAAAAAAAGAATTATTGTATTCTATACAAATATTAAAAGTGCTTATGCATAAAATCCTCCCTATGGAAAATTGAGTTCTGGATAAAGTTATCTTGAAGATGTGTTTCATTCTGGTGTGATACTTTAAATGTTTGAAAACTGTGTTTATGGTGTCAGATACCATAGTGTTACTACATAGGGTCTAGGACAGCTCGCCACAATCAATTTGCTGCAGCCATCGTACTATGGCCAACTTGCCACAGGATAACTTGTTGCAGCCAACTTGCCACAAGACTACTTGCTGTGGGACAATTCCACTTAGGATAACTCAATGTGATAAATGTTACCCACCACTGTTTCTTCAACATTATTTGTGTTTTTGTCAAGATGGGTACGGCGAGTTGGCGATGGTGAAATGGCCCTGGCGAGTTGGCTGTGTGGCAAGTTGTCTCATTCAAGAATGCTGTCAGCATTTTTCTTCTAAATGTACAGCATTATTTCAGTCCAGTATAATTTTTTTCTATCTTTAGAAAATGGAAGCTAACTATTATGACAATATAATGGAACAACAACGGTTGGAACCTGAATTTTTCAGAGTTGGCTTTTATGGAAGAAAATTTCCTTTCTTCCTTCGTGTAAGTACATTTAACATATCCATTACTCTATGAATGCAATGCAGTTTATAATGAATATGATTTGTGTATTTCTTGAAGGAATTAAAATAGTTATGTTTTAAAATATGGACTTACCTAGAAAATTATACAATTGATTGATTCATCTAAAATATTTATGTTGTTTCTGCCAGTCTAGTTATTGTCCCTATTTTGTAAATTTTAACATTTGATGTAGTTTTGTACCTGGAGTGAATATGGATTTCTACTGGCTTTTTAAATATTTATAAACATGATTGAGTTTTTTTTTCATGTAAAATATTGTATATACAATAAATCTTCTAACTGTGTTTGAAATTTAAAAAAGTCATTCTACAGTTTAATAGCATTGCCAAGTAGTATTAATTCAAACAAAACTTAGATTCACAGAAGAATAGAATCAGTTTGAAAGAATTTTTAGGATATGAATTCTAATTTCCCACCCCCCACTCAGTATAGGAATCCAAGATGAAGAATCCCAGACAAATGAATATCTAGCTTCTAGTTGAACAGATCCAGTGAAAGTCCCACTACCACTCTGGTTAATTGGTACCTGATCAAATTGCTCTTACAGGTATGAAGTTTTTCCTAATATTAATTGGGAATTAATTCCTAAAACTAATTGCTTTCTTTTAACTTATATTCTTTACTCTGTGTCCTGCATTCTGGAAGAAGAAGAAACAGATTTTGAAGTTCTATGATTGTCAGCTTTCACCCAGAGTGATACTCAAACAGAAAGGTTAGCAAGCAAAGTTTCAAGGATGTAGCTCTTAGATAAATAAGCTTTATTATACTTATTAGAAAAGTAGAAAATTAAATAAATTAAACTAAATTACATATCAAACTGTAGAATGTGCTCAGAATTTCAGAAATCTCCTTTTCCTTATGACAAACTTATATAAATGTCAGGAAGCCACAGTATAAGAGAATATGATGAAACACTGGAGCCAGGTTGATAAAGGAGTACAACAGCACTCCACAGGAAACTCTCTTCTTTATTCAATCTATATATTAAGGGAAGCTAGATTGGAAGCATGGTTTTAAAATTGGAGGAAGAAACAATAATCTGCACTATGCTGGTATCACCCTGAAACTGAAAATGCAAACTATTATCAAGCCCTAGTACTAAAAGTAAAAAGCACAGTGAAAAGGGGACTAAAATTAAACATAAAAAGACCAAATTAATGACAAGTAAAACAATGTGCAGATAAAAACCAATACAAGTTGTAAAAAAAGAAAAAAATAGAAAGTGCAGAAAAGAAAAAAGCACATCAAAGAAATATAGAAGAAAGAAAAATATGACTATAACCAAAAGAGAATTATAAAGAAGCAACTTCTCTTTGTCTCCAGACATATAAACAATTTTAATAAGTCATTACTTCCCTTAAAATACAATTTCTTCATGCCATATCACGTTACTTAGCTATAAACAAATTCTTAAAACCTTGTCATTCAGTCCTAGTCAGTAAAAGTTTATTAACCATTACCAGAAATAACTTCTCTTTTAACCTTGATCAAATAAATCAACTTTATATTCATTCCCTTTACTTTTAACAATCTTGATCTTTTATCCCTTCAAATAATATCCTAAAACTTAATTTCTTTTCTTTTTTTTCTTTGTCCTTTCTCATCAACTCTTTCAAAACTTTTAACAGATTTCCCTTGTAAATCTGATATAAGAAAATTATCCAAATTACTCCATATTAGATGTTTGTATGTCCTTTTTAATTATTAAAATGTCAGCCAGTTTCATTTGTAAATTCAGTATTTTATCTTTTTCCAGATCATTCTTGTAGTCCATTTTAAAAATCCACATTCAGTTCTACTTTGGTCTTATCTGATAGAACTTATTCCTCTTCCATCATATCATGTTATGGAATTTGTCTATGATTGCAGACATTTTTAAAATTAATGTATGACTCAATTGTTCATATATCATTCAATACATTCAGTTTTATAACGTATCTGGCTCCATTCTGTATTAACAAGTCAAATAGAGTTTCCTTCTCCTTTAATTGTAATCTTTACTTCCTTTTAGTTCCCTCTAGTGTCCAGCCTTCAAAATCCCATACTATCATGTTTGGTTTTTTAGAATTCAAAACATAGACCATTTTCCCTTAGGGATGATTTATTCAATTAATTTCAAAAGTCCATCTAGATGGGCAATTAATTTTCTCATGGGGCCACATGAGAAACTGAAATTGTTGTGGAGGGCCAAACCAATAGGTCTGTGAAAATAGTAGACATGTACGCAGACAGCTACGTAAATCGATTAAAAAAAATTAGTCTGCTTCAAAATAAAAGCAGTGAAGTTGTATTGCATGCATGGTGTACACTTAATTACATTTGAGTTGTAATTTCCAGTTGGCCTCAGATGGGTTGGACAGGGACAGCCAAAGGACTGGATGTAGGTTGGGACCATAAAATGCCCAGGTCTGATCTAGACCCTTAGTCCATTTACATCTTTCCTAAAACAATACTCTAATCACTATTTTTCCTATTTGTTTGCCCAAATTATGAAATCTTTAAAGCTGCACTTAAAATTTCTTAAAGATTGAAGGAATCCTAGTGAATGCCATCAATCTTGCTGTTCTGAAAGTTCTTAATATTTTAAAAACAGTAAAAAAGTAATTCTAAAATTGATTAAGAAATGAGGCTCAGCGAAGCTTTATGTATACATAAGCTACATTACAGTTATGGGCATAGATGGGATCTCTCCGCTCATCACCCAATTGCAAAAATTCTTGCAATTTACTCATGAAAGAGTGCTGTCCAGAGTATATGTGGTCAATCCTCCAATCTTTCCAGAGAGATTTCACTAGCCAGAATCCATCCCCTGGCCACTAATTTCAGCCATAATGCCATCATCATAGCTTCAGGGATGTCTAGATTCCCATATCCTCACTGAATGGCCTAACAATCAGCTTTAGAATTAACAATGAAGATGGTAAAGTGGTCAATAGCTTCTATCTTTTAGCATCAACTATCAACAGGAAAGGAACAAGAAGTACACTGTATACTTGTACTTGCTAGAACAGCCATGAAAACCTAGGAAACGATATTCAAATGCCTTGATGTGTCTTACCTACAAAGATCAGAATCATGTAAGATATATTCCATGGAAGCAAAAATTGGACTTTGAAGAAGCAAGATAGGAAAAGAATTGACTTTTTAATTTGGATGTTGGAAAAGACTGCTGAGAATATTATGAATAGCCTAGAAAGCAAACTGTTGGATCATTGAACAAATCAAATCAAAATTCTCCTTTAAGATACAAATAACTAGGCTCAAATTACTCTACTTCAGACGCATTATGTGAAGACTGAAGTCTGCTACAGGATCTAATTCTAGGAAAAGCAGAAGAAAAGAGAAGAGGATGATCAGCAGCAAGTTATATAAAGTCAGTTATAGAGGTGATATGTGCACCTTTGGGAGAAAGAACAGATTAAGCATCATCTTGGGGAAAAAACCTGTATGGTTCCTGGGAGTCAGAAACACATAATAAATTAAATTAATATATATTGTCACAAGAAGTAAATCTTGACTTGTTTTCCATTGGACCAGAATGCAGGATACAGAATAATGAATTTAAATTCCAAGATTTTTGTTGAATATTAGAAAATGCTAACTGTAACAGCATGTAAACTATGGGACTATTTGCCTAGGAGATGGTGAGTTCACTTTTACTGGAAGTCTTGAAGCAGAATGGACAGACATTTGTCAAGGTTGTTTTTGATTCCTGTGTTAAACGATAGTTTTCAATGCATGGTCTAAGCATTCCCTCTAAGTAATAATTTTATAGAATTATTATTCTATAAAATCTTTAGCCTCCTTGTACTGGAGGAGGGTTCCAGTATCATTTATGAGCTGATAGCCCCAATGAAACAATGAAGGCGTCACAAGTAATAGTGGTCAAAACGCATGTGGGAAGACACATACTAGAGATGGTCTTTAATTTGAAGAAGATGACATGTGGTCTGAAAATAAGTAACACTGATATCTTTCCTTTGCCATAATCAAGCTAGTTCCTTGTTAAACTGAGAGTCATGGATACCTGAATTTTGCATGAGCAACAGGTCTTTCAGAAGTCACTTTGGTAGTTTCCTGACAATTTGGTGGGCAATTCTGTTTTACGCCCTCTGAATCTCTGGAATTCAGACATTGAAAAGATGCTGGATGTGCATGTTTGGCCACTTCATAATCATAGCTCCTGAGATAAAATGATTAAAAACAAATATAGAGCAACAGTAAATGGAAAATCAGATATGGATATGACCAAGCTCTTGTAAGAGCTCATGTTCAAATAAGGCAGCATTTTGTATTACCATCTGGGATTTATTTATTTTTTAAAATTGTAGAACTAAAGAAAGCTGTCAAAAAGGTTCTCTGTTGTAATAATTCCTCCAAATTCCTTTCGGTGGCTAGTAGTGGGTGTGAGTGGTTGAATCCAGGTGATCAGTCATTCTTGCTTTGAGGGAAGACATGAAGACACAGCTTTGAACGAGGAGATGGTCACCTTCTGAAGAAGCTTTTCCTGAACAAATGTTGCTTTGTCTCCAACCTTCTCTTTTTTATGGAATATTGTTGGGGACAATGTGAGAAATCAGCTATAGAGGATCCAAAAGGAAATGGCTTATTTGGATCTGGAATTCAGGCCCAGTCATGGAACAAAAATGTTAGTGGTGGTGGAGGATGACTTTCACTAAGACCTAAATGGTGAAAGCATGTCCATTTCAGTCTTATCAGACTCTCCACAGTGTTTGATACTATCAAACTGTCTGGATTATCTTCAAAGGTTGGATATTGCACTATATACTAGTGATTCTCCTATCTGAGCAGGGTTCACTGCTCTCCCTAATAATTATTTATCATGCACATGAAAGGCGTTATCAGTGATCACTAGCATTGGTCTACAGCAGAGCTGTCAAACTTGCAGACCACAGGCTGGACGTGTCACGCACTGGCCACGGCCAGGCACAGTTTAGCGAAGTGGGAAAAAGCCACGATACATCACGTGACAACATGAGTTTGACACCCCTGGTCCTCAGTAAGATGTCATCAGAACTATTAAGTAATGGAACTGTCTATTTGTCTTCAGTTCTGGATTCGAAAGTTTGAGTAGCCATTTGTTGGAGTGCTATGAAGATCCTATTGAACACAAATTCATGGACTGGAAGACTTCCAAAGTCCTTTCCAATGCTATGATTCTATGATTCTATGAGTATGTTAATGACATACATTTATATATTACTACCGTAGGTTGCAGAAAGCTTGAACTAGGTTTTGGAAGCTGTTAAAAACTAGATGAAGTGAAATAAGCCCAGACAAAATATTACCTGGGTTGAGTTGTATTAATAAATGTTCAGGAAATTTGGAAACGTTAATCCTTGAGGTTATCTTGGATGAAATTTTTCTCCCTCTAAAAAAGTTGATTGATGATCCGGTGTCCTTTGCTTAGCCTTTGCCCGCTTGTAACAGATTTGCCAGTTATGTCACCATCTATATTCTCTGATAGTGGTCACTCATGTCTTAACCACCATGCAATTGGATTACTGTGAACTATTTCACATGGGGCTGCCTTCCCAGATACAACTGGTACAAAATCTAGCAGTCTGGCACCTGAGAATACCCCAAATTTAAAGTTAGTCATGGATGTTAGTGAGTTTCAAAGTGCTAATTGTCACTTATGTAGCACTGGAATACATCGGGTACTAGGTTACTAAAATTAAATCTACCTATCTGGTCTGAACATCTAAAGAGTTTTTACTAAGAATTCTGTGCCTGCACTATATAATGTGTCCACTATGGACAACATTGCACCTCACTACAGGTAATCCTCAAGTTATGACAATTCACTTAGCAACAGTTCACAAGTTATAACAAGCATACTCAAAAGTACTTATGATCCGTTCCTGCAGTTACCTATATTTTAGCACTATGGTGGTCATTTACCCTTCCAACCAACCAGAGATGCTGTAACAGGTCCCCTGCCTGTTTCCCCTCCAATCTTGCCCTGTTCAGTTCCCAAAGGCACCGGGTCTGCTTTGCTAGCCCACCGAGTTCCATGTGCTTCTCCCCACCTTGTCACTGATAACTCACTTACCTTTCAAAGATCTCTAGACCTCAAGATGCTGGGGTAGGAAAGGAGAATAGACTGGGCCATATGGTGGAAAAGTGGCCTTCTTTTTCGGACACTGGCGAAGCTGTTTTCCTTAGATCTCATGTTCTTACATATGCTTCCGTCCTCTTTAGAAAAGCCTTTTTGCTCAGGATGGAGGCCTGCAGGGATGCAAGCTCTATCTATTCTCCTCTTTGGAAATGCTTCCGTCCCTGCAGACCTCACAATAGATCTTGTGTTCTTATGTACAATTCCATCTTCCATGCAAAAAATCTTTTTCAAAGAGGATGGAAGCCAGATTTAAGGAAAACAGGTTTGCCAGTGTCTGAGAAAAGGACACATTAAAGAGAGCAGGGATGGGGGTTCTGAAACATGTCTCCTCTGGAGGCATGGTTTGCCCCTTCCTTCATAAAATTCTAAAATTCTATTCTAAAATAGAATTTCCACTTCATAAAATTGTTTAAAATGTCTTATTCCACTGTCCTTTAGTCTGGTTGGTAAATAAAAGTGAGGATGCTAAGGGAACAATTCAGTGATATTTTAATTTTATGTTGCTTTCTTCTCCTTACAGAATAAAGAGTATGTTTGTCGAGGCCATGACTATGAGAGATTAGAGACCTTCCAACAAAGAATGCTTAGTGAATTTCCACAAGCTGTTGCAATGCAACATCCAAATCACCCAGATGATAGCATATTGCAGTGTGATGCCCAATGTATCCTTGATTAATGTTTTAGAATGAAGTTATCAAAGTTGCTGTAAAATTAAAAATATTTCAGAATTAGAACACATTCATAGTAATTTTAATATTTTTGATTGCCTGCTTACAGATAGTTAAAACTTAACTGCAATGAGGGGAGGGGAGTTGCTTAAAAACAGAATATAACATGCACTGTCAAATTTGTGAAATGGAGCTTTGATATTCATTGGATAATTATCATACATGTTAATTTTTCCTAACCTCATAAAATTGTATTCTATAATTTCCTGACAAGATTTTTGTTTTTACTTTTATTTTTATTTTAATATTTTAGTATTTTTATTTTAATATCCCCATCTAGAAACATTTTAGAAAAAAATGTGCTGCATATTCCCCTTTTCCTTGTGAAGCAATATCAAGAAATGTCAGTTGAAATGCCTAACTGTTAAAAAGAATGATAATGCCCAAATAAATATGTTCCCAGAGTGCCATATTAATGTTTTGCAGAAAAAGCAACAGAATCTTGTAGCACCTTAAATTCTAATACATTTATTATTGCAAAGTACTTTGTCAAGATAAGTGCATATTTTACCTACCTGTAGCTGTTACAGTATCATTTATTATCTTTATGATACATATATAATAAATTGCATAGTGAAATCAATAGCAAATAAAGATGCAGTAAAGCATTTATGATAATCTTTTTATCTGTTTATATAGTAAAAGAATATTTTTGTTATTTCATTTGTCAGTACTGTTAGCAGACAAGATTGCCACCATTCTCTGCTGTCATTTGTCTTTCATATTCTTAGATCCTTGCTGTTTGATATAGTTCAAACATAGTGTATTTTAAAGTCCAAGTTGTAACCCAAATTTAAAATATGTTAATTATCATATCTAATAGGGTTCCTCCATGTATAGTTGTCTATACATGGGGCAGAGGGAAATTGTTATACATTTACTAACAGTAACATACTGTTAAAAAATAAGTTGATGGATGCATATGATATTCCTGCTGTATCTTTGAAAACTAGCACTTCATTTTATTTTATTATTTAAATATCTGAGAGGCCTTGATTGTGAATTTATTGGATTGTGTTGTTAAGAAGCAAAATTTTGTAACTTAATTTTAATAAATTGAAATAAAAGCTAAATGTGACCTTGAACTTCGATGAAACAAAAAAAAATGATGGTAACATTTGTCTGAAAACCTGGGAAATTTTAAAATAAAAACTTAATTAAATTAGGCTGAGAATTAGAATTGAATTTTCAATAAAAGTAAAATCCAGAGTAACATAATAAATTGTTTCAATGTAAGAAAAAAACCCTGGCCCAAAAAAAGCCTATAGAAATTTTGATGGAAATAAAAAAGTCTTTTAGCGCTATCTATTCGAAATAAAAAAAAATAACTTGCTGTAAAGAGATTGAAAAAGAATTATAGTTTTTAATTCCAGATCACAAAAAGTTCAAATAATGCATAATCTAAAATAGACATAAATGGCTGAAATATCATAATTATACATCTTTTACAGAGAAATAAAAACAGAAAACTTACACAGTACAATGAAATAAATAAATAAATAAATAAATAATAAGTTTTAATGCAAATTCTAATATAAAGTTCTATTACAAACCCCCTTTGAAAACTTGAAATGAATATATATGCTCAGATGTCCGGGTAAAAATGGATTAAATGCTGTGATAATGTTGATTTAAACTGTAGTTTCCTTATGAAAAATATTTAAAAAAGAAAAATGAGTATTTGTTTTGTTAGTTCTAAATTTAAAATAAATTAAGGCTCAGAAGAGTTTTTAAGAACATGACAGAAATGGAAAATTATGAACAAGGTTTCCATTTTAAAATAAGTATAGCTTTAAAAATGCTCATCCAATAGTATTTTATAACAGATCAAGATGTAAGTAGAAGTGGGAAGGAAATAAAACCAAAAGTACATGTCATCTCACTTTCAATGATTTCATTTGGAATAATAGGTTCAGAACTATATGATGTTAGCAAGTTTATGTCATAGGATGCCATAGCTGCTAAAATTGCACAGATTCACATTCTAGTTTCTATGCTGTATGAGATTCAGGTGTGTGTGTGTGTATGTGTGTGTGTTTTAAAAAATACAAATAATAAAGATGTAATGTATGCAATGTGTAAGGGTAATCTGTATTCTTTTGTATTGTGTGTATTTTTTTCCTTTGACTGGACTCTTATTACAGACTTGCAAATCTATGCGGTGACTCCAATACCAGACAATATTGATGTACTACATATGGATCGTGTCCCTGATCGCATAAAGAGCTTTTATCGAGTTAACAACATCAGGAAATTTCGCTATGACAGGCCTTTTCACAAGGGCCCCAAAGACAAGGAAAATGAATTTAAGGTTCTAATTCTTCCTAATACATTAACATTGTTTTTATGCAAAATATATTCAGGAACTTTTAGATATATGTAAGAGCTCATAGAATTATTGCTATCCTTAAAGCAAGTGTTAAGCAATTTGAATGTTGGCAAAAACCATAGCAACTGAATATTTGATTGTAGCTTTATGATATAAAAGTAGACCTTTTAAAGCAGTTCAATAGTTGCAAGAATAAGACATAATTCTGTTTAGGCATGCATAGCACCGTGCTATAACAGGCTAAAAATACAAGATTTTGCAAATTCGATTAGTCTGACTGAGGAGCTAATGGAACTATATAGTTTCTAGAGGGTGTTTCAGAAGCCAAGGCCTGAACACCCTGCTGAAATAGGGAAGTGGCAATGTCCTTGAACAAAATTGCATTTGAATACCTTCTCCCAGTTAGCAGAGTTGGAGGGCAGGAGTTCCATGAAATGAAACAAACTAAAAAAAAAAAAAAGCAAGCATGGGTAAGAGCCCATATCCAGGTCTACACCATAGTGATGAGAATGGCAAAATGTTGATATTTCTTCACTTTTGTATTGTATCCACAACCTGTTAATCAGCAGCTCTTTCCAAAGTGACAAAAATCCCACTGGGTAAGAGCAAGCAGGAAGATCGTATAAGAGGCCACTGTGAAAATTAATTTGGGCATCTGAAGAACATATTTTTCAGATTTACTTGGAACTTGATGCCAGCTGAGCAGCTTCAGGGGAGATTAGTGAGTCTTTGGGTTTTATTTGAGTTATCTGAGATGAATTTGATCCTGTGTGTGATCTGGTCCTTTGCAACCCAACCACCTTTGGTCTGGACGTTTCAGCACAATTAAAAACTAATTGCAGTTTTAATAATCTCTGTCAAAACTGAGATAAGAAATAAGAATAACGCAACCATCCTTCTTGGTCTCTCAGCAGCTTTCAATAGTACTGTATCCTTCTGAACCACCTCTGAGATTTATGAGTGCGGGGAGGACATTATATGATGGTGGTTCCTAAAATGATGTTTTCATTCAGGATGTTGGGAAGATCAAGCCCCGGATCTATCATCTGCAGATTTCTGGCACTTTCCAGTAAAATTACATCCTTAATTCTAAATAGAATTGCACTCCACTGAGTAGAAGTCCTTTGCAATTTTTTAAAACAAGTTTTATTCAGTTTTTCACATAAGTTACAAAACAAACGAGCTCTTTTCGGTGGACAACATAATTCTGGGTCACCACTTTTACATGCAAATATGACAATAGTTATTTTTTACATTCAACTTCCTATCTTATCCAATCTTTACTAATTCTATTATTACCTTTTCTGCTCCAACTTTTACAGAAGAAAAGAACGAACAAATTAGTCCTGGTCACTGATATTAGTCTCAATCTAAACATCCTCGCAATTAATTTCAATTATTTCAAATATATTTCTTAAACATTAATATTTCTTTTAAAGATAAAAATAATAATATTCATTCACCTAATAAGAATTATCAATGTCCCTCCTTGCTCTTAATGATCTATATAACCCTATTAACTGATTAATTTATAATTACAAATACTTTTATTGTTACCTTTTCCAAAATACTCTTTTCTTATTTAAATCACCTATAATCCCCATATCTTCATACTTATTACCTTTTAATTCTTTTATCTCTCAGATTTGCAATTTCATCACATATTCTTTCCATAAATTCTAAATTAATACAAGCTTTTACACAAGAGAAAAAACTTAAGTCCCCTCCTTTTTATTAATTTGAGCATGTCACTTCAGTGGTTTAAATATACCTTAATTCCCTCATCTTAATTCCCAGTAAACATTTATTTTTAACTAGTTATAATAATAATAATTCCCTAAAAAACTACATAACATTATATATATTTTCAGTCAGATTCCGCAATGCATTTTCCCCCTTTAATTTCATAGAATTTATTTATAGTTTCCAAACAAAAATAAGAAAAAAAAACCCAGTCCATTTAACTAGTCCTGGTCACTGATATTAATCTCATTTTTAAGCATCTTCACAATTCATTTCAATTATTTCAATTTATTTAATAAACATTGACATTTCTTTTAAAGATAAGAATAAAATATACGTTTACCTACTAAAAATATCAATGTCCATTCTTCCTCTTTTTTTTTAATTTTATTTGAGTTTTCACAAAAAGAAAAAAAATACAAATAAAACATCTTTTTTGAAAGTAGCGTAATCCTGGATTACATTTCTTCGTACAGACACAAACTCAAGTTCATGCTCATTTTTATATTCTATTCCATATCTTATTACTATTTTACATTTTCTGTATAGCTTCTCCCCTCTTTTAATTTTATCAATTTTATTTTAATTATCTCAATTCAAATCATTATATTTGTATTTTTTGTCTCTCCTGTTTCAATTATCTATTATCTTTTCTCATTAAACAAAATTTCTTCTATAGTTACTGATTGGAGTATGACGCCTTTATATCTTTTAAGTTTATCCATTTAACTCTTATTTAGGCTTCAATATATACCCTAAAGTTATAACATTCAATATAATACATAACTTCCATTAGGATTCTGCTTGGTACATTCTTAAAATACACACTATATTCTTAAAAAAAGAAAAAATTATAAATGTATGTAATTAAAACAACACATTCCATTCCAATTCAATTCTATCATTAATATTAATATTCATTAAAGTCAACTTCTTTAACATTACTTTTCAATTAAATATCATACTTCTATGGGAACAATTATAAGCTTTCCATAATTAATTCCCCCCCTTCACTCATATTTTATAAAACATTGACTAATTAAAATGTTCCCGTTCCTTACTAATTCAATTTTCTCATTTATTTTATATCACTTATTTTATTAAAAAACATTTCACTAAATTACACTATTTTATCCCTCATTTTAATCATACATTGTTTCCAATTTTCTAAAGTTATTTCTATTACTAATATAACAATACAATCTTATGTACCTTTACAGAATCCCTTTTTCAGTTAGATTTTCACCCATTATCTCTAAATAGCTTCTGTTTCTCTATATCTTGCTCCGGTCCTTTATAACTTCTTTTCCTTTCCTTCTTCCCTCTCTTCTTCTCTCTCCCCTTTTTACCCCCTTGTCTCTCTAGCTCTATTTCTCTCTTCTGTATTCCCCTTTTCTGTTGCTTTCCAGTATTATACTTATTTTTTGGATTGTTTTTCTTTTCTTTGGTTGTTTTTTTAAGTCTTAAATTCTCCATTCTCTTTCCCCACTTTCCTTTTTCTTCCCCACATAAAATTACTTGTTCATTAAAGATGGCTTCTTCTTTGTCCCAGTCTTCTTGTTTTGCAGTCTTTTCTTGTTGTTTCTCATAGTTCCAAATCTCCATTTCTAAGAATTGAAAAATGAAGCCAAAAGAACCCTTCCCTTCTTGTGCATCTTTTTTGTACTTTTTAAGTTCCATTTTCAATTCATCCAGAAGTGGTGCCATTATATAAATTTTTAAACAACCACCCAATTAATTTTAGTCACTCAAATGTAATAACCAAGAATCCAAAGACCACCAAATAATCCAAATACACGCAAGCTGTTTCTTTTTGCTCTTTTTTTTCACTTTCTCTTCTTGGGGTTACTGTTTAGTTACAAAGTTTCAGTTAAAATGTATCTTTTAGAAGCCTTGTTGAAGTTTTACTGTAGATTCTTTTTAATTCCAGGCAGTCTCCTCCCTCTTCCAGATCCTGCCCTTATTCTTTTTCTCTCCCTTCCTGCTTATGAAAAAAAGAAAATTTAGTGTCCAGAAATCTTTATTATCCCTTTGGCATTTTATTTTATTTTCAGCTTAATTGCCTATTGATGTCAAAGCAGATTTTTCCGATTTCTTATTTAAGTCTGTTAGTTGTCAGTATAGGGAAGGAGGAGAGAGAAGGAAAAAAAAGCCAAACCTTTCCCTTTTCCCTTTCCTTCGCTGCTTCCAACTCTTCTTTGGGAGCAATGTTATTTTTTTGTAAGTTTAAATTCCAGGGTACCTTAGTTGTTGCTTTTACAATTTAACCCGGTCAGCCAAAACTTTCACTTCTTATCTTCCTCTTGCACATTCTTTTCGGGTCGAGTTCTCCTTTGTGGTGGCCATTTCTGACCACTGCTGCAACTGCCTTCGGGAAAGGGAGTAATGGCCAGCTGAGGAGGAGAGATGCGGCTCTCCTCAACCCTGCTGGCGGTCTCCCCCCTCTTCACCACCTCTATGGGGTGGCTTAGCCCCAAAACCAGCCGGCTCAGGATGCTCCAGCAGTGAGCCCAGACTGAAATCGCTCACGATTGCAGATTTCTGTCTGTTGCCGAAGAGACTTCAAACCGGAAGTGGCCCATTCTTCCTCTTAATAGTCTATAGTTCCTCATTTTCTAAATATTTTGTAATTGCAAATACATTCTTATTATCCCTCATCTCCATGCAGAATTCCCTGTTCTTAATTCCTTAACCATTATCTCTGTCTTATAAATAGTTTCTTTTCATTATTTTACAATTCCCATATTTCTTTATTTCCTGCTCCTATTTCTCATTACCTCTATTCCCCTTTATTTTAAGTTCTTTGCAATTTGAGGGTTGGATCCTGTTTTAGGAATTAGGGGTAGTCAAGGTTAAGAAAGAATTTGCTTCCATCTAGTGTGCCAATTGCTCCTTTTCCTGGAATGGCAGGAGTCCTGTCTATTTATAATAAGTTTTACATGGGGCTTCCCTTGAAGAACATTCCGAAGCTGCAGATGATCCAGAAACCCTTCATGGTTCAGAGCCTGTTATCTGCAGGACTGCCTTCTCCCTGTAATGTTTGCCTGCACAAGAGGTCTCCAAACCTTGCAACTTTAAGATTTGTGGACTTCAACTCCCAGAATTTTGAAGAATTCTGGGAGTTGAAGTCCACAAGTCTTAAATTTGCAAAGTTGGGGACCCTGGCCTACACAATAAGATCACTTATTCACTCAGTTAAAGACTTTTCACCTTCAGGAGCCTTATAAATGCACTTTTTCAGTCACTTCCCCTTCTCTGGAATAGTCCCTTCCCATCATGTGCAATTGCCTCCTTCTTGCCCTACCTTTAGTGAAGACCTGATTTTTCTGTTAAGCGATTTCAGATTGAGTCAGATAAAGACTAATGGAACTGTGTTGTTGTATAATATAGTACAACATCTCTCTGAGGGAGATGAGTGGTTTAGAAATAGGATAAATAAGTATGTATATAAGTAACAGACTCTTGTAAGCCTATCAGAATTTCTCTCTGTCAACTCTGATACTGAACAGAATCAAGATATGATTTTCTTAAATTTCCTTATCATCTCCACTTCCTTTTTAGAGCTAAGTTAATGATTCTTATGTAGGTTCTCCAAGGTTATTTCCATATTTCTTTACAGCAAGGAAGGCTAGTCTGTTATAATGGTTCCACAATCATGGGATTGGGCTATTTTATTATCATTAATGTTTTATAAATAACCCCTGGTTCCAGAAGTATTCATTTTAATTGCTGTTTTTCATTGATTATTTGTATGTTTGATTGGAGCAGTCTATAAGACTTGCAAATAGGCAAATAAAATAAGGCACATTTGGCTTTTCATTTCCTATGTTTTCATTTGTAGAGCTTGTGGATTGAACGTACCACTCTAACCCTGACTCACAGTTTACCTGGAATCTCTCGGTGGTTTGAAGTGGAAAGGCGAGAATTGGTAATGTTTTATTTTTGTAAGCTAAGGTATAGCATAAAGAGAAAGAGTGGGTAATTTTTTATCTAATGGATAAAATAACATGTTAAATGTGCTTGTTGTAACAAATGAGTGTTTCAAATAATTAAGACTAATTTAATAGAAGGACTATGTCCAAAATATGTTGTTAAAGAAATGACTGGTGTCGAACAAATTTTATCTGACAGACAGTGATGGTACTGAAAGTGGATTTACAAAGAAGGACTTGGAAAAGAATGTCTCATTGGATATACAAAAGAAACTGATCATTGTTTTAAAAATGATAAGGAAAATACAAAGAGTAAAACCAAGAAAGTGACCTGAATAATTTTTTCTTAGTGGATTTGCAAAAATAGAATAGAATAGAATAGAATAGAATAGAATAGAATAGAATAGAA